ATAGAGAAATAGTTTAAAAAGCAGATATTGCACATTGCAGGAACATTTACTTATAGTCTTCAGCCTTTGTGTCTGTACTAAACTATATTACATTTTGTGTCTCTACTTTTTCCTTTTCAGCTTCCTTATGCCTAATTTCTGTGCCATCTTGGCTGTATTTCCAGATCTCCTCACCCCAGGAACCAAATGACCCAACTTGTTTCCCATCTGTACTACTTTTCCGATCTTCCATAACTCTGAAACACAATGCAAGGCTTCTTCTCACTCAACTCTTTCCGGGTTTGTTCTGCAGCTGTGGAGTTTGAATGTTAGTGTTTAAACAAGCTGGTATTACACAGGAAATGGCCACCTCCACAGGCCCCTGCAGGCTTGTAACATGGGGTCATTGTACTTGATATTAATCACCAGTCAGCCTTTTCCCTCAGTAAAAATATGAAGGCGTGTGCAAGTACTTAGTCCTCCTTAGTCTCTCTAGAAAGAGAAACTAACTGAGCCTGGTCTGCTTATTCCAAAATGTAGCCTTCTCAGTCCCACACCGATTGGAGCATTCAGAGTAGTTGTACTTGACCCGTTTTCTATTAAGTTGGTAGCTCTACCTTTCTTTCTGAGCCAGAAAAAGAGGTAGATTGTTGTGGTATAACACCATACACCCATATCACCCTGTAATCTTTCAGGGCATATTGAATTTGAGTAGTATCCTCTGTAAGGGAACTCCAGAATTTAGGAACATAGCAGCCCACTGTCCCACCTGAGAGAAGGGCTCCTTAGTGCCCTGGACTGAAATGTTTTGTAATGCTATTTGCAGAACTAACCCCAGCCTGAAGAGTTAATCTGATTCCCCAAGTCAATATCCCCCAAACAACCAGCCATGAGTGTGTGTGTTGGTTCATTTCTGTGAAATGTGTTTCCCCAGTCACCTGGGCTGGCCTGGGCTGCATTGTATCGGCCAGCAGCTGCACTGCACTCAAACTGACAGCTACATTAAACCTTGGAATTCTGAGGCAATAAAAAGTAAATTAACTCTTATTTTTTTCCTTTCCTGGTGGAGTAAGTGAATGCATGTCTGTAGGGAAGTGAGTGAGCTTTGGTTCTGAATACATACCTCTTAACTAGTCACTGCTGGTCTGTCCCAGGCTAGGATCTGGTGTTCAGACTCCAGCCAGGGGTCTGCTTTCCTGGTGTGTGGTGTGTTCTGTGGGGTTGGGCCAGTGGGTCACTCTGTAACTGCTGATCCCTGCACACTAATCACATCCCAGCTGCTGAGAGAGACTCCCTTGCCATCATTCTGGGAGCCATAAATTGGTTTATTGGACACAGTTTCATATTCTCTGGCTGCTTTGTGTCTGCTTGGTGAAGAGTGCACCCTAACTTTAGTAGGATTTTGTGCACTCTCTGGGAGCTTCCCCAAAGTATAGATTGAACCAGAATAAGCTAGAAGAACTTGACTGAGCCCATAGCATTCTAGAGTAACCATTTAGAATCAAAGGTGATTTGAGATGATCAGAAATAATTTCAGGGAATCCTTTTTCAGACATTTCAAAAAAAATGGCAGCTGTTTGAAGTTCCTCATAGCCACAAGAATTTGATTTGGGGTTCCTTAGCCAATCTTGAATCCTTAGGGTCCAGGGGCTGCTGTAGGGTGAAGGTTAGGATATGGAACTAAAGCAGGAAAATGCTAAGCCTTTCCCCTTCTACTTAGACAGGAAACTCTGTTCACTCACAGAACTGACCATCCAGCCCAAGGGCCTAACTGGGGTAAGCTAAGGTGATGTTGCCAGAGTTCTAGGAAGTACCTCATCCTCTTGCAAATACTCACTTTGTGTCCAGGTATCTCACCTAGATTTTCAGAGCACCTCCCCTTGTTAGTGTTAGTTTCCTGATATATGCAACTCCCACACCCCTGTAAAGAGTCACTGTATGGCCTGTGGGTACTAGTTGAATGTGTGTCTGTGGTGTTTGCCAAGAGTTGCTAACATGATGTGAAACATGAAATGAGCTTAGGTAATCCTACTGTGATACCAGAAGAAAGCAGCTACTCAGAATCAGAGTTCAAGTACAAGTTCAGGCTGGATTGACCAGTATAAAAGTGACCTTTCATTGAAACATTTTGTGTATTCCCTTGATCAGTCTAGTCTTGACCCTTGGACCACTTTTATTTATATTTCTGAGTTGGGAACTCAGGGCACTTCCTATGTCTTTTGGCACCAGCTTCTGTCTTACAAAATTAACATTAGAATAGGAACTCTCATCCACCTTATTTTGCAGTGAGTCTTAAGGTTTTGGCACAAGGTAGGTGGTGATGGGCAAAAGGCAGATGTGGGCAGGGGTCCCTAGTGGTGGCCAGCAGTCTCTGGGAGGAGTCAATTTTGTTTTATCTGAGCCTTAGGGGACAAGAGAGCATGGTAATAAGAACCACATGGTACCACATATTTCTTCATCTTGGATCCAAGATGGTAGGGGTGGGAGGATGAGAGAGGGATATGGGGCCTCCCACTATGGCAGACGTGGGTGATTTTTCTGCTGCCTCTCTCTGGCTGGGGATGCCACTGCCCACACCCTTATTCCCCAACTGTGTCCTGTAGCAGCCTTGACCTGCACACCACCAACCAGGGCTCCCAAGCCAAGAATTTAGCTGGGAGACTTTTCACCTTCTTCCTTCTCACTGTTGTCTTTCCTGTTTATTTTTCAAATTGCTGCTCTGCAGCCGAGCAGTGCCTTTTGGCCAAAGCTCACCAAAGCTGTGGGATCAGACTCAGGCAGTGGGCTCAAGTGGCCAGCAGGGCACTAGGGGAGGAAACAGGGAACTGGAAGAGCCTCCCTGTGCATCTCCCATGGGCAGCACTAACCTCAGAGGCGGCCCTGAGCAGCCCTATCACATCCGGTGCTTGTCTCTGCAGCCGGACCGGAGGATAAACTATCAGAGCTGTGGGGCAGTGCATCATTCCTCTTATTATTTTCTTCTCTGCAGATGGGGTCGTGGAAAGTTCAGTTCCTTTTAACCCTCAAAGTTCTGTTTATTCTACAGCTGGTAGCCTGAATGCTGCGTTTCCCATTACATCACAAAGGGGCTCAGGCAGATCTCTGCACAGAAACGTGTTGCAACTGTTTATTTTTTTCCATATTTAAACATTTCTGACAGCCAAACCCGGCTGAGCCAAAATATGGGGCTTTGTGAATGAGTCTGGTTGTTGGTTTCTGTGCAGAGAAAGGCTTTAGAAAAATTCTCATCCCTCCGGTGATTCTTCCTGAACATGTTCTTTTTCCTGGGCAAAGCCTGTGAAGTGAGTTACTTCTGCAGTACACGTGTGTTGATTATGTGCTGTTGTGTGATTAATGGGGCCGTGTTCCACCTGGTTCCCAGGACACTCTTGAAAACAAGATGTTTCATTTCATTGCCTTTTCCTAGTGCAGTGATTACAGTAAATAACCTAGTTCAGCCTCCTTCCACCTGGAGCCAGGCAGGGAGTTCCCATACCTCTCCCCCGCACATTCTCCCAGCATCACCTTCAGTGGTATAAGCCTTCAGTGCCTTCTCAAGGTTTCTAGTCTCCAGGAGAAACATGACATGAGGTCAGAGGTCCTCATGTACATTAACTCCAGGACAATTTTTGCTTATTGTCTCTTGACACTCCGTCTCTTGAATTTGCTAAAGTTTTCCTGTAATTCTCCTATGCATCTCACTCCTATTGGAGTAAAATTTAACATCCACGGGACATTGCCTATTTGACACTCCCATGTTAGAGGCTTCTCTGGAGGAAAAAAGCCAATTCTGTAAAATTGGCCAGTGGCTGGGCACCAGTGGCTCACACCTGAAAGCTACTCAGGAGACTGAGATCTGAGGATTGTGGTTCAGAGCCAACCTAGGCAAAAGTCCATGCAGTTCTTATCCCTAACCAGCAAAAAGCCAGAAGTGGAAGTATGACTCAAGGGGTAGGATTCTATCCTAGAGTGAAAAAGCTAAGGGAGAGAGCTCCCTAGACTATATCAGACCCCAATTTGAGACATTACTGGGAGGTTAAAAATAGTTTGATGGATCCTTAGTACCCATCAAGCATGAATCTGAAACACAGTAGATGGTAACATCTGCCAATAAGTAATGGTGAGAGAGAAAAAATGAACATTCTTTTAAGTGGAGTGAGTAAAACTTTATTATTTATTTTAGAGTTTCTTCTCAGGTTTTTATCTGGATCTGTGGATATGCAATGAGGGTGGCTCAACCATTTTGATTTGTGCAGGACTGGGCAATTGCAGAGACAGGGTGAAGGATGATACTTACAGTACTAAAACCAGGACAGTGCAGAATAGTTGGTCACCCTGTATCTAACCTTCTGTAATTGAAAAGGACAGGGTCTAGTATAGCCAAGATAGCACTAGTAGCAGTTGAAATGCATGAGAGGCTTTACCTTCTTGGGCAGATCTTACGTAGGCCAGGAATGAGGTTTTTGTTGGATCTCAGTTTGTTTTCATATATATCTATATCTGCATGTAGATATAAATATATAAATGTATATGTGGAAGTGATTTCTAAAGTAAGAGGAAAACCCACATGACTCTTCATATAGTTTGACTGGTACCTATGTTGCTGTGGCTAGAGGAATGAAGCTGGTGCCCATTTTCTTGCTATATGGCATATACTTGGCTGCACAATAGAAGAGAGTTGAGGGAACTGCTTTAGGCATTGGATGTTTGGAGTGTTTGAATAACTGTCTCGGCACTCTGTCTGGAAAGGTGACAGGATCTGCATTAGGCAACTGATTCTCCAAATTCTTTTTCCTTTCTGGTTAGGATTAAAACTCCCCCTAATCAATTTGTGTAGAGGGACACATATATCCCAGATTGCTGCCATGAGCACAATTTCATATCCTAGCATTTTTGGAATGATTTCTTGGCAGCTACCAGCCTGGACAACTTTTGCTGCAAGTACCTTTTTTCTGACAAGTGCCAAGAATACTTTCATTGGTCTCTCTTTAGAGCTGCTCTTTTTGACTTATTTCTCATAGGGTTGCTGTGGATGTGTGGTCAACATTGGCTGATTTCTGCAACATATTGACAGCGGTGAATCAGTCTGAAGTGCCACTGTACAAGGACCCGGATGATGACCTCACCCTTCTTATCCTGGAAGAGGATCGGCTTCTCTCGGGCTTTGTCCCCTTGCTGGCTGCCCCTCAGGACCCCTGCTACGTGGAGAAAACCTCGGATAAGGTCAGCCCCAGGCCAAACGTCCTTCCCCATTCACTCCTCTTCTCAATTCTCCAGACTTTTTTATTCTTGGGAAGTTTTCTGTGCAAACGGAACATGATTAAGTCATTGAGAAGGGTGTTAAGGGAAAATATCGACCTTTTAGCCGCTGACATCCAGCTCTATGTCCTGGAAAAAAAAAAAATCCCTCTCAACTTCCTTTGGTGTGTGTGTGTGTGCTCACTGGCATGTTGTATATACGATCATTTCCTCACTTGTTTAAATAGTGCAGCTTGTGTTGGCAGTGCTCTCACTCAGCTCCAAATGGTTTGCATCATGCTTAAAGCACCCTCCTTTCTCCCCCCTTCCTCTTTCCCCCAGCCACAAAACTCTGCACTAGGAAAACAGCCAGGGCTTTTTCCCTTCTCTAAGGAGGAGAGTGATAAATAGGTGACTAGAGAGAAGCAGACACCATGTGTTAACTTACAAAAAAAGCTTTTAGGAATATGAAGCATTCCCTACTGCCTGGTTTCTATTCTCCTTCCTCTAAGGACTCTGTTTTAACCTGACTTTTTTCTCCTTGTCTGTCTGTTTATAGAAAACAAAGCCCTGTCCCTGTTGCGCCGATGGGGACTGTGGAGCTTCTAGTCTGCTTAACAGTTGGGTCTTCAGCCAGGTGGGGAGTAGGCAGTCTGGGCTCTACTCGTCTCATGTAGCAGTCAATTATCCAGGGAAGTAGCAGTCACAGACCTTGAGGGCAGAATCTCCTGTGCTGAGACAGGGCATCCTGTGCCTGACTTCTCATCAAAGTGGTTGGGCATCACATCCTTCTGGGGGAGTGGCCTTTGGCAAAGGGTATATACATAAATGTCTTCTCAGGAGGAAGTGTTTTGACTCAGATAAAGTATATGCAGAGAGATGATTTGTAGAAAGTCAGTAAAGCTGGGCACTGGTGGCTCATGCCTGTAAGCCTAACTCCTCAGGAGGCTGAGATCTGAGAATTGTAATTTGAAGCCAGCCTCAGCAGGAAAGTCCATGAGGCTCTTATCTCCAATAAACTATGAAAAAACTGGAAGTGGAGTTATGGCTCAAGTGGTAGAATGTTGGTTTTGAGCAAAAGAAATTCAGGAACAGCATCTAGGCCCTGAGTTCAAGCACCAGGACCAGCACACACATAAAAATCAGCAAAAATTAAATTGTTAGACTGAGGATATAGTAAAGTACTTGCCTAATATTCATATTTAAGACCCTGGGTTTAGTCCCCAACACCACCAAAAATAAGAAACAAATGAAACCCTCCCAACATAAAGAAAAAGCTAAATTCCTAACATGAACTGTAAATATAAGAGAACTTAATATGTGTTGCTATAGCAGACACAAATCTGAGAAATTTTATACTGAACATAATATTTTAAAACTTTTGTTCTTAATATAAAACAATATTCACTGTAGAAAATTTGGAAACAAGCCAGGCGTCAGTGGCTCACATCTGTAATCTTAACTTCTCAGGAGGCTGAGATTTGAGGATTGTGGTTTGAAGTCAGCAGGAAAAGTCTATGAGTTTCTTGCCTCCACTTAGCCACCAGAAGACCAGAAGTGGTACTGTGGCTCAAAGTGGTAGAGCCTTGCATGAAAAAGGTCAAGCACACTGGGGCTGGGAAGGTGGCTCAATGGTAGAGCGCTTGCCTTGCGAATGAAGCCCTGGGTTCGATTCCTCAGCACCACATAAGCAAAAAGAAAAACGCCAGAAGTGGTGCTGTGGCTCAAGTAGTAGAGCGCTAGCCTTGAGCTGAAGAGCTGAGGGACAGCGCCCAGGCCCAGAGTTCAGGCCCCATGACCGGATCTCCCCCCCCCCCCCAAAAAAAAAAAAAGTCAAGCACAGCACCCAAGCCCACGACCAAAGAGGAAAAGAAAATAAAATTTGGAAACAGACAAAAAAAAAAATCCCCATCCTTCTATATGGTGATAACATCACTACTATTTTGTTAATCCTGTATAAATACATTTTAGTATAACTTATATATATGCTTTATAAGTGTAGAGTGGAACTGAGGATGTAGCTCAGTGGCAGAGTCTTGCCTAGTATACACAAATCCCTGGGTTTGATCCTCAATACTGACAAAAACAATAAGACAAAACAAAAGTTGAGGGATCATGTTATACATACTACTTGTAGTCTGCTTTAATTCTTTCCCCTGCCCTCCCCCCTGCATCCTGGGATTTGAACTCACAGCCTGGTACTGTCCCTGAGCTTCTTTTGCTCAAGGCTACCACTCTACCACTAGAGCCACAGTGCCACTTCAGACTTTTTCTGTTTATATGGTGCTGAGGAATTGAACCCAGGGCTTCATGCATGCTAGACAAGCACTCTACCACTAAGCTACATTCCCAGCCTTTTGTGTAGTGCTAGGTATTTAGTATGGAATCATTTTTATGAGCACTTATTTTTGTGCCTTTTTTTTTTTTTTTTTTGGTCACGCTCAAGGCTAGTGCTCTGCCATTTTGAGACACAGCACCACTTCAGTTTTCTGGAGGTTAATTGGAGATTAGAGTCTCATGGACTTTCCTGCTCGAGCTGGCTTTTGAACTGTGGTCCTCAGATCTCAGCCTCCTGAGTAGATGGGATTATGGGCACCCAGCAGTATTTTTTATGTCCCATAGTTTCCTTAATCAATCTTTATTTTATAAATCCAAAGGAATGTTACCAGTATTTTCACTGTTACAACAGTAAATTTATACCTCTAGAATTTGAGCATATATTCCCTTTGGTTAAATTTCTGTAAGTAGGTAGAGGATCTAAACATTAATTGGAAAATTTAAAAAAAAACATATTCTCTGGATAAACTTAATGAATACTGGGTCTTAGGAAGATAATTGAGAAATGAGGAATATTCATTTTATGCCTTTGCAGAAAAAAGTCCTTGACACCTGTAATCCTAGCTACTCAGGAGCTTGTGATCTGAGGATTGAGGTTCAAAGCCAGCCTGGTCAGGAGAGTCCATGAAACTTTTTCTTTTTTTTTAGAAACCAACTTAGGGGGGAAGGAGAAGGGTTGGGATTGGGGGGGAGGGGGGAGGCTGGGAAGGGATGTGAAGGGTAAACCAAAGGAGGAGGCTGTAATGCTTGGTAAGAAATGTACGCATTATCCTGCCCATGTAATTGTAACCCCTCTGTACAGTATGTTCACAAATAAAATAAAAAAAAAGAAACCAACTTAAAATTTTTTTTTTATTTTCAAGGTGATATACAGAGGGGTTACAGTTAAGGAAGGTAACAAGTACATTTCTTGTCAAACTTGTTACCCCCTCCCTCATTTTTCTCTCACTTTCCCTCCTCCCAACTTTCCCCCTCCAAGTTGAACAGATCATTTACAACATATTGTCTTGTGAGTATTGCTGCTGCATTGGTTCTCCCCTTGTCCTTTGTGTCACCATCTTGTTGTTCCCCTTCCTTTCCCAAATTCAGATAAAAAAATATGGAACGCTTCATGAATTTGCTTGCCATCCTTGCACAGGGTCCATGCTAATCTTCTCTATATTGTTCCAATTTTAGTATATGTACTGCCAAAGCCAGCACCCATGAAACTCTTATCTCCAATAAATTGCTCAGAAAAAGCTGTAAGTGGCGCTGTGGCTCAAGTGGTAGAGCACTAGCCTTGAGCACAGAGAGGCTCAGCTACAGAGCCCAGGCCCTGAGTTCAAGTCCCAGGACCAGTAAAAAAAAAAAAAAAATCCCTTGAGTAAAATTCTGCTCCTGTGGTGTCAGAAAGGGATAATAATATGGATGTGTAGCTCTATAGCACTTGAGGCTGAAGATAGCTAACAAGTATCTGTGGAAGATACTGTGTTAGAAGAGATGAAGATACTGAATTAGAATAAGTATGGCTTGGACCAGAACTTGCTAGTAGATTTTGTGATTACAGGGTAGTCTTGATTCCAGAGAGTCCTTTTGAGAGTTGGTCAATGAATTAGTGGTTTTTGTTGTTGTTTTCTTAGTGCAGAACAAGGGTAAAGTCCTAACTAGGTTAGACTTCCTAAGCTTTGTCTTCTTCAACTTATCAACATTCCTAGCTGTAGTGCTAGATACTAAGTCTGTAATCTGGCTACAAAAACAAACAAACAAAAAACCCATAGAGCCAGCAGTTCGCCCTCCGTCCAGTGAAGGGCTGCAGCTCACTCAGTCTAGGACAAGGACTTCACTTCAAGGATGGTGAAATGGGTATGTTAAACAGTAGCATCCCAATATCCTACCTTGCTCCTATTCCTACACCTACTTTTTCTTCAATATTTTCTATTGCAAACAGCAGCATTGGCTTTTTAGTTGTGATTCAAGAGAGAATCTTGGGGTTATTTTGGGATCTTATTTTTCTCAACACCTTCATACCTACTCTGTCAGCAATTCATGTCTTCTTTTCCTTCAGAATATATGCAGATACAACTCTTTCCTTAGTTCAACTCACTGAAAGGCCTTTTAACCAGTTTCTCTGGTTTTTCCTCCCTCCTATTCCCCAGTCTGTTTCAGCACGGCTACTAGAATGATCTTTTTAAAACATTAGAAAATCATCAGTTCTTTCTTCAAAACTTTCCAATGACTGTTCTTTATTGAAGTAAAGGCCAAAGTTTTATCAATGGCCTCTGATGGCCCCTGCAATATGACTACACTTCTATCCTGTTAATTCTCTGATCTCAGCTTCTATTCTTCTTCTTATATACTCTGGCCATATTGACATCCTTGTTATTGTTCCTCAAGCGAACCACATACCCATGCCTAACGATCTCACAGTTATTCTTCTCTTTACCTGGAATATGCTGTCCCAACTAGTTGTATAACTCTCTCACTTCCTTATTAAAGTCATCTAGAGAGGTCTTCTCTGGTTACTCTTTATAAAGTGTTACCTGCCTTCTTTTTCCTTTTACTCTACTTTATTGTATTCCATGATGAGGAGAAATAATTCTTTATCATGTATCAGACCCTGAATTAGGTATTTCTGTACAGCATTTCTCCCACTAAGCCTGCCATATATG